TTAGATACTAGTTAACGAATTTACCTAGGAGTGTTTAATCATCAAAACACAACTTTTTAGGGCATAAAAGAGGGTTTACGGCCCAAGCACATGCTTAGGCCGCAAACACCCCTTATCCATGCAAAAATGCCCCAAAAACCCTTCCAAAGCATGTTTAGGCTTGAGATATGATTTAAGGAAATTCCATTTCGAGTTTAGGACCATTAAACATTATATTTTGAGGGGTAATTTAGAGTTTACGACCCAAGCATAAGCTTAGACTGTAAAATCCCCAAAACCTTGCCAAAATGAGGGTTTAAGCCCCTAAATGCCCCTATACCTTCACTAGAAATTACTGGGAATGGAATAAGGACCTTAACATCAAAGTTTGGGGAGTGAACAAGGGTTCACGGCCAAGCCATGAGGCTTACGGCCTTAAAATCCCAAGGAGTGGCCTTTGGGCCGTAAACTCCAAGGGAGTAAGCTCTTAGACCCCCTTAGTACCCCTTTTGGTCTTGTACAATCCCTGAGAACCACTTTTAACCGATAAGACCTCGAATTAATTTTAGGATATGTAAATGTTTTAATAAAAAGTATAAGTGACTAATTACTTGTAAAACATATATCTCATATTATAATAGGGTCTTAAAAGGTGTACAAGTCCTTAATTGACACCAAACGCTCAACCGACACTTCCACCCGATTTACCTGATTTACTCGATTTCAGGTGAGTTCATACCCCTTAATGAACCTTTCTAATGTTTTCATATGTTTTAAGGGGGGGATACAAGTCAAATATACATTTTTATGGAAGTGAATCACATGTGATTTACTACCCGTAGTTCAAATCACATGTGATTTATCACTATGCTTTATATAAGAATTTTACGTTTTCAAAATTACTTTGGATAAATAAACTATTTTCTAAATGCTTTCTTTGGTCAAGATTTTTATTAAATTACTTTTCTTATAAAATGTATCTACACTAATATGTTTATATAAGTAAGACTTGAAGGACTTAGGACCGATAGCTCTCCTTATTTCCCGTTCTTGTTTGATTGTGGGTTTAGGGTATTTGTTATCTGTCCGACTGTTGTTGATTTCTTAGTTATATATCATGTATATTGGTGTTAGGTACGAGCATTTTCATCTCATTCGATGCCTATATTACTTAATTTCCAAGAACTATACACACTAAGTTAACTATAATAGGTATAGTTAAGGCCACTACTACTCGTTACCGCTACTACTATATATACTATAATTCATACTATTACAAAAGGATACACGAATAAGAGAACACACTATGAACTACATAAAAGACTACTACACTATATTACAAGAGAAAACACTAATCCGGAAGATAACACACTAACTCTCTACAAGATACTCTACGCGCTACATATTGTGACCACAACTTTCCGGAAGGAAGGCGACGCTACATGTATAGATCTATACAGGGCAGACACTATTATATCCCGACTGTTAACCTCAGTCCGAGCCGAACAGGCTCAGGGATAGCACTACATCACTACACTATGTATGACCAGGAAGGTCATGTGATCCTCTATTGTTCACACTATTGGTCACATAAAAGAAATACACAGTATCCACACTAAAATATTAAGACTAAAGTCTAAGTTAATATCCCGAAGTAAATAAGTATCTAATACTAATGGGAGTTTGCACCATTAATACTGACAACATGCATAACTTTTCCTCTATCTACACTACATACTAGTGACTTTAGTACCACACTTTTACAACAAACGGTTTTCAATGATAAAACTTACATGCAACTTAGAGTTTTTCACTTGCGATGTATTTTCTGGAAAATATACGATTTTCTAGGGTTTTCTACTACTTATAAATGTAAATTCCAGTCTTTCACACTATAAGTTTTAACATATTTTATACAAAACTTACACTAAATTCTTATGAACTCACCAGCTTTATGCTAGTACTCGTTTTCAAAATAACTTGTATCCTCAGATCAAAGATAGACAGGTACAAGTGCAGCATTTTGGAGAAGATGGAGCATTACAAGATCCATCTTTTGTTTTTTGTATTACTTTTGGTGTCTATTGAAACTTTACAGAACACACTTGTAATTAAACTTACTATGTAATGAAATGGTTGTATGTTTCTTGTTTTTACTATTATGCAATTGTGATGATACTGTACATGACGTCCTCCACCCCGAAACGTATTCCGCCGTTATCGGTTTTGGGGTGTGAC